CTCTGGTAGTCGTCGAACGTCTCGAAAAAAGAAGATACATGTTGAATCGAAGCAACGCCCTAACGATCATGAATTTTTTTACTAAGTATGAATTGTTCGAGAAAACAGCGGATCTTAAAAAATGTTGGTATGAAGACAAGGAATTCGTAAGGGAGGCGCAAAAAATATTGATAAGTCCGATTCTGTCGCTCTACGATCTTATCCGGTTACGACCTGACGAGGCGGCGAAACAACTCACACATACGGACTACTTCGAGTTCATTTCGAATTCATTGAATTTTCCAAAAATACATCGAGAGGCTTGTGCTTTACATCTATGCGAAAAACTATCGAAAGGATTTTTCTTGCAACGGGGGCTGGATTCTATCATGACACTGACATGCCTTCCAGTTCGTTGCTGTGAATTTATTATTGAGAAGCTAAGCAACAAAGATTTATATAATGTTTGCTTGGTAGCTACTAAAAACTAAAGCTCGTGATGTCGATGATCATATTTACAGTACTTTTTGAGTGTTGATTGTTATTGTTGAATAATGTATATTTTCCATATCATTCAAATAAATTAATTAAAAATATGAGTTCCTATTTATTTATTCATACCTACATGACCATTTGAAACAAAATATTTTAAATTGTATATTCATTACCATGACATCTTATCGGAACTAAACTTCTCTATACGCACATGAATAATATAAATATAAAAAAAATTCACAATGGCATGATCGAAGAAAATCGTATACTTGGTCAAACATGTTACTTTTAAGAGAATTTGCTGAAAATAGTATTTTCCGACTTAAAAATATTTACAGGCAAAATGCCTATCAAAGACCCCCGTGCAGTTTTGAACTCATAAAACGAAGAATGATTTTTTATAAGATTTCTCACATATATAGGACTGCATTCAACCTACGAGATGCATGATCTTGCCGTGTTAATCAGCTCAACCGTCGTCCAGATTATGCTCGCGCAGTACGGTTATACATATTTTTTCCGAACGTACCTACCGAGGTGTGCGATATAACGTGCGCAACAACAGCGAACTGCGCGCTCAACGAGCCAAATCCGTTCCTTCTCGCGCGCATACTTTTTTTAATTAGCTCGTTTTTTCATTGTGTTCATAAGCTTGTGACTTTCTTACTTTATAACGCTGAATTCGAGTTGTTCCGTGAATGTAAATCGTATGACTGTCATGTGCACTGCGCTGCGCAATTCCACTGATCTTGTATACGCGAGAGTCGCTCAATTTGTCGCGCGATGCAACACGAGTTCCAGATCGGGTTACATTTACTGCTACACATGCACACGCGCATCCTAATATGTGTAGAAGAGATATCTTTTTTCGAAATGCATTGACATATTTCTCTAATAATTACGCTTGATACGAATTGAACAAACTATAAAACCAAGTTTTTCTTGTTAATTCGTTTATTAACATCATTTTTACGCGCATATTCTCATAGTTAATTTATTAAAAGTTCGAAGCGAAAAAACTGTGTGACAATTTTTTGCAATAGATTTCGTATACGTATGCGTTATTTTAATTTGAATAAGCCAAGCAGCTTCTGCGATCGCACGGCCCGATTAGAGTCGATGAGTTACGCGCTTTTTATTAATGAAGTGAGGAAAGGTGCCTTCTTTATACTAAGAATTTGGTCCTCATTATTTCTCAAAAGCCTAGAACACGAGCCCACGCGGACGTGGCAGAAGTCCGCACTAAACTCGTTTCTTCCGACGTTTTGCCGTTTTTATTTTCAAGCATCAATAAAGCACGAAACAATGAATTTCTTTGATTGTTCGATGCAACTTTCAAAGCCTCGATTTTGTCATTGAGCGTGCAATGTGTATGCAACTCTTAAAATTGTTAGAAATTGTAAAAAATTCCCGAACGACCGCGTGTAGATTTTTTCCAAACAGTTATGCATGTTAGAGAAATATATGAACGTCTGGGTTCGAGCAACGCATAGCAATGCCAGTAATATGTAATATATTTATTCGTTTGGAGGGGCTCGAGAGATGTGTGCGCGGATCCGTGAAATAAGCAAGCGTGCAGCAGCAGCAGCAGCGGCAACAAATCCCTCGATTGCGGCTCTTATGTGTTGGCTGCTCCGTCGCCGTGTATATAGCGAATATATCCGAGCGTACACCGAAGATTACCTAGAGATTATGCGGCTCGATGATCGCTGCGAGACTCGTCCGAGTACAAAGCTTGACTGCTGCCGCTGTGCTTCTTGGCTCTTTTTGCCCATCGCACAATAGGAGGCGGCGGCAGCAGCCAACGCACGCGGCTCCTATGGCTGCTGCTGCTGCTGCTCATTGCGATCTCGGCGCATTTTCTAACGCAACGTTATAAGCTCAGCTGCTCGCTCGTCTGTTTATACGGTGGCCCGCACTCGAATAACTCGCCTGCAATCGCTTCAGCACTGTATACTTGAACCGTGATGAGCTACAAGTATATAATATCTAAGTGCTCATTGTGCACACGATCAGGAACATATCGCTAAAGCTTCAGAATGTTCTTTTGCTGCTATATATACTCCGGAAAGATCAAGCGTATGGGGTATAGGTGTACCATTGCGTAAGACGAGTCCGTATGCGGATTTATTTTCGTAATTGTACTCATCTCGGCTGCGCCATTTTTGGCAAGACAAATTGAAGCATCGACATGAGGCGCGCGCTCTCTTTTATGAAAAGCGATATTATTACAAGCTCCGCTGAGGCTGCGAGACAATCGACCGCGAGAACGACGAAAACGAACGTGAATGGAAAAATCAACGCTGCTCGTGTATTCATTAACCATCGCTGACAGACACGAATAAACAGGTTGGCTGCAATAATCAATTTCATCGGTCATGATAAACTGGCATGCGACCTGCGCGCGCGCGCCCGTATCGTCCCAAATCACTTTGCCTCCTTGAGGTCTCTATTTTCTTTTTTCTTTTTCTTTTCTCTCTTTTTTTCTCCCTACATCTAAAGAACATCCTCGAAAATACGAAGCCGAGTATGTGTGCGCAGTGTTACTTTATCGATTTTATCGGGATCTCGAGTACGAGTATAAGGACGAAAAGACGAGAGCGCGCGCGACGCAGATATGGAAAAAAACAACAACAGCAACAACAGACGGAGAGCGGATCATCGCACGCGCTCGCACAGTTTGACGATTAAGAATTCGACGAAGCAAAGTCGCGAATGAGGTGAGCCTGAGAAAAAGAGGAAGAAGACGACGACGACGACGAAGAAGAAGAGGAGACAACGCATATAATGCAGAATAATACAGTTGCGATCCGAAGTTGAGTTGAAATATCGGATCGACTGCGTGTGTTACTACTCTCTGTTTATCGAGTCGCCCCGCGCGTATAGAGCAGAAACACGTCGTTTGCCGACTGCCTTAACGAGTAATTTTTCAGTGTAATGATATCAACGAAGATTTGGGATTTTAAAACGAAATACTTAAATACACGCGCGAGCGCAGGAGCTGGATAGTGCCAAAGCAGCAGTAGCCACGACTGGGTCGTTCCTTTTTTTTTCTACGGAATTATTTGACAAGCTCTTAATAACTTGGGCGCTGATTGAGGAACCGGTTTCGATCGTGTAACTTTTCGATTAGCCGAAGACATCCATTACCGACTCTTTTATCATTTTCATTATCGAGTTAGTGTGGATAGATCGATCGTATTAAAACGCAATTCGAGTAGGCCTGTATCGATTCGAGAGCTGTAAATATAATATGTATAATGTGCAGGTGACTATTTTCGCATACAATCGTCGGTATTATGCGTAATTCGCATTAGCAGTTCGTTGAACCAGCCAAGCGTATAGAGAATCGAATAATATTGTCTGCTCTGCGAGATCGTCGAGCAAAAAAAAAACGTTTCTGATTAATCCGGCCGAGCTGTTATGACGTAATTGATCCGAGGCAAGAGAGTCTAGTACTGTGTGCAGCTTCGAGAGTCTCATGAATTAAAGGCACAACATCATCCGTCGGAGCTGGAAATAGTTGAGAGCAGCTAACCAAATTACGCGTTGGACGTGGGATGATGAAAGGCACGTTTAAGGCTGTATGAGAGAGAAAGGGAGACAGAGAGAGAGCTGCCTCGAGTGCAAAGAAAATACTATAATATAGCCGCGCGGGGCGCCGATCGTTCTGACCCCTCGACGCTGATCTTCTCTCTGTCTCTCTCTCGACGGGGGTGGCGGTGGTGGCTGCGTGTGCGCATTCAGGCACGTGCTGCTCTCATGAATCAAGCCGTATTAGAGAGAGAGATAGATAGAAAGCAAAACGAGGCGCGCAGGGAAAACTGCAGGATGCTACGAACGTCCCGAGTAAATTGGATTTTTCAGCTGTATTCAATTTGGATAGAAAGCTCGACATCCTCGTGGCCCGAACTGGCATTGAAAATATGCATTCGGATATCGTATCAACTTCAACAGACCTCCGGATGACCGATCGATGGAAATAGAATCGCGAGACGGCCGCTTCCATTTATCAAAATTATGTGCGATAGTAAATTTTGGAGCTTGAAAAATGTTGGAACTGCACGCACCTAAATTACAAAGTGCACGAGACAATAGAAGAAAGTAGCGAGCCGCGTCAGCCGCGTAGAAGTATACAGCGGAGAAAACGCGCAGAGACGCACATACATATAGCGCACGCAGTGGCGAGTAGAGTCACCGATAGAAGCGACTGCGCAGGGCGAGCTATAGCTGCGCAAAAGCCGGTGCGGATCGTTGCGGTATACCGGAGAGGCGTGGCCAGTCTCGCGCGTACCGGGACTCGAGGCGGGACTTGGCTGCACGCCGAACGCAGCAGCAGTAGTAGCAGCTAACACAGAGAGCAGAAGCAGCAGAAAACGCCGATCTTTGACAACTCGGCGCTCGCACTAGGCAGAGAGCAGACGCGAGCCGTCGTCGCAGCAGCAGCAGCAGCAGCAGCTCGTGGTCGCCGCGCCTCCAGGAGGCCTAGCTCTAGGAGAGGTGTCGTGGACAGCATGGACAGCAGGCATGGGCCCGGGCCCGAGTGAGCGCCTGATCGGGGCGCAGCGGCTGCTCTGGCTACTACTATGCTGCTCGTGCCGGCCAGCACGGCGGCGCCCTCGGAGCTGCTCTACCAGCTCGACAAGTACTGCGGCGAGAAGGTGCAGCTGCGCAACGCCCAGATACAGAAGACGGTGCGCGAGGTCTGCCGCGTCGTCCAGGACGTGCTGAAGGAGGTCGAGCTGCAGGAGCCGCGCTTCGTGTCCTCCCTCACCGAGTGCAACGGCCGCTTCGACGGCCTCGACGTGCACTCCCCTACCGAGTTCGAGGTGGCGCTCTACCTCAACCAGATGGGCGTCTTCAACTTCGTGGACGACGGCACGCTGCCCGGCTGCGCCGTTTTGAAGCTCAGCGACGGCCGCAAGCGCTCCATGTCCCTCTGGGTCGAGTTCATCACCGCCTCGGGCTACCTGTCCGCGCGCAAGATCCGTGCGCGATTTCAGAGCCTCGTGGCTCAGGCCATCGACAAGAGCGCCTACCGCGGCAGCGTCCAGCTGCTGGCCGACTCGAGCGAGGTCCGCCTCAAGGTGCGCGAGCGCTACGTCGTCCAGGTGACCCCGGCCTTCCGCTGCTCGGGTGTCTGGCCGCGCTCGGCCGCCCACTGGCCGGGTGCCGGGGCGCCTTGGCCCTCGCCGAGTCTCGCCGCCGAGGTGCGAGCCGAAGGATTCGACCTGCTGTCCAAGGAGTGCGTCGCCGTCCAGGCCAAGCCCTCGGCTACCGATGGCGACGCTTGGGCTCTGAGCTTCGTCGAGGCCGAGGCTCGTCTCCTATCCAACGGCTGTCGACGTCGTTGCCTCGACATTCTGCGCACTCTGAGGGACAGGCACCTCGACTTGCCTGGAAATCCAGTGACCGGCTACCACATGAAGACGTTGTTGCTGTACGAGTGCGAGAAGCACCCGGCCGAGACCGACTGGCACGACTCCTGCCTCGGCGACCGAATCAACGGCATATTTTTGCAGCTCATCTCGTGCCTGCAGTGCCGGAGATGTCCGCATTACTTCTTGCCGAACCTCGACCTTTTCCGGGGCAAGTCGCCCAGTGCCCTCGAGAACGCGGCTCGTCAGGTGTGGCGACTCACTCGAGAACTCCTCATGAACATTCGTGCGCTCGAGAAGCTTTAACTCACTGTTTGGTGCTTCGAGACTGCAACTTTTTTTGTCGGGACTATGGTGCAAACATTTTATTCAAGTCTGTTGTGTCGACGATTCGATGCGAACCTTACGATTAAGACAAATCATTTTAGTCACTCGCGTGCGTGAACGATTCGATATGATTTCTACGTGTATAGTGCAATTTCCTACACTTTGCAATCGAAACTAAAACTGATATTAACATTCCTATAAGTGTTGTTTACGCGATAATTGGCATTTGTGATTTACTAATGTAATTTTATTTATATCAATGTTAGCATTATGATTCTGTTCAACGTTTATCTGAAGATGCAAAAATCAAATGAAAATAATCATTCTTTAACTTATCTGTATAGTAACTTATGACGTTCAAAAAATCTGCATTAGATTCTAGAAGATTACAAAAGTCTCAACATTTGTAATTAACATTACAAAAAAAAATAACTGTTACAAGCTACAGCATGAGTGTTTTCAAATAATTATTTTCAGCATCTTTTCAAGTATTAATTTTTAAATTATTGCGAACGTGTTTGTAAAGTTTCTGCGAGGGAAAACTTGAAACTACGTGCAAAATATTTTATTTATTTTAAAAATATAAGCAGATTTTTTATTTTATAATATATTTATATATTAATGCGTTGTCATAACTATGTCCTAATTGTAATAAAATTTTACTATAAAAAATTTGTTAAATCATTTTTTGCCTTGAAATTATGTAGGTAGAGAAGATTAAAAGTACTCAAGCACCCAATCCTACGAGGAAAAAAACGAATACATGTTTTACCAGCTTTAATTCAATGCAATAATACATGTAATACTCAATTCTATTCACAACAATTTTCTTGTACAATCAAATGTATCTTTTTACACGTTTAAACATAAGTCAAACGGAATTTTTGTGAAACTTGACTGGATTTTATTTATGTAAGAAATTATTCAGTTAACTGACGGCTCGAAATTACCATTAAATATGATTTTTATAAAAATTTCCTTTGAAAATGAATACTCTCAATTATTTCTCATTAGTAAACAGATTATTTTTATAATTTATAGAAGACAAAAAAGTTAAATTAAATTCACGTGGACTTGAATATAAGTTTACATTTGTTACATACACTTATCAAAAGCACTTTGTCATCATTTGATTTGTTCGATCGTTTAGCGTAAGCTTTCAAGCCTTTGAAAGCCTGTTAATTATAAAATTTCTATTTTAGAATGTACAACGGGTGAGAAAATCCCCAAGCTCTCTCATACAGTACGGAATTCTATTGAGCGCGCAGCTTTTGAAATCAATTTTTCTGTCACGTTGTTCAATAAAATTATGGTCGCATTAATTTGATTCACGTGCTACGTCGTTGAAAAAAGATTCTCTCGAATTATTTCGCAAAAAGATTTATGGATGAATTAGTTTTTCGACGTGTACTTTCTGCACCGAACAAAGAGGAACCTACGCGAATCGTGGTCATATTCTCGAAAGCATCGCGCAGAAGAAGAGAGCAGCACCAAACTCGCCAAATGGAAGTGGCGAATAAATTTTTGTGCGAAAACAGTCGAGGAGCGAAGTGGTCGAATTACGATACGAGATAAGGCAGTGTATAGCAGCCATGTTGAATCGACCCTCATAGATAAATTCAGCGCAGTCAGAAGAGGGAGTTTAGTTCGGGCTTTTGCGAGCCCGGAGAGAAACACAGAAAAAAAGGCAACAAACGAGCGGATACGACGTGGGCTCGCGATGTCGCATAATTTTCGCCGAGCTCAGCAGGCAGGCTGCAGTCAGGCTTCTCTCTCTCTCTCTCTCGCTGTACGGCACTCGCATGCACATATATCTGGCTCGGAACACGTAGTGGCGGAGGAGGCCGCCGCCGGTGGTGCGCGGCACATAAACTACTAGCCTCGCCGCCGAGTGCCGGTCTCTCGAGCTTCCCTCGCACTACTATACACGCGGCATAGTATATAAACGGAGCTGCAGCTACGAACGAAGGGCTGCTAACGGATCGATCCTCGCGGCGGCAGCGTCGGCGGCGGCGAGCGAGGTGATAAAGGGAGCGGCTCGGGTCCGACCCCCCTCGCCAGTCGATTGGTCGGCAGCTTTGGCTTGGGAGTCGAGTCAGAGGCGGGGCTAGCGACGCGGCTTTGTGGAGCGGTGGTGGCTCGGTGGACGCTCGCCAAAGTCAGCTCGAAATCGCGACGCAGTCGGCGCTCCGCATTCGTCAGCTCGGAATCGCGCCGGGCCGCACGAGGCTCTTCCATCTTCTTCCTCTTCTTCCTCGTTCTTCATTGTGTTGTTGCTCTTCTTCTTGCTCTCTGCGCACGCCAGTGAGGTACGTAGCAGTGCCTGTCGACGATATAACATGAGTGTCGAGTGAAGTGAGTTTCTGCAGTTATAGTTGTTAGTTTTTGGTGGACGCGCACAAGCGCATTATCCGCTACGTCGAAGCGAAATATCAACGCACACGCACGGCATCAAAATGTTAGTTCCCGCGGAGATGTTGAGTTCCCAGTCGAAGATGGTGTACCAGCTTAACAAGTACTTCGGCGAACGCGTCATGAGCCGCAAGGCTCAGGTGGCCAAGACCATTCAAGAGGTCTGCCGCGTCGTTCAGGACGTGCTTAAAGAGGTCGAGCTGCAGGAACCCCGTTTTATCTCGTCGCTAAACGAGTATAACGGCCGCTTCGAGGGTCTGGACGTCATCTCGCCGACGGAATTCGAGATCGTCATCTATCTCAATCAAATGGGTGTGCTGAACTTCGTGGACGACGGCACGCTGCCCGGCTGCGCCGTTTTGAAGCTCAGCGACGGCCGCAAGCGCTCCATGTCCCTCTGGGTCGAGTTCATCACCGCCTCGGGCTACCTGTCGGCACGCAAAATTCGCTCCCGATTCCAAACCCTGGTGGCGCAGGCCTGCGACAAGTGCGCCTATCGGGACTCGGTGAAGATGATCGCCGACACGACGGAGGTGAAGCTGCGCATCCGCGAGCGCTTCATCGTGCAGATAACGCCGGCGTTCAAGTGCGCCGGTCTGTGGCCGCGCTCGGCCTCGCACTGGCCGATACCGCACATACCTTGGCCCCATCCTAATCTCGTGACCGAGGTCAAGACCGAGGGCTTCGACATGTTGTCCAAGGAGTGCATCGGCCTGCAGGGCAAACAGTCGGCCATGGAGGGCGACGCCTGGGCCCTGTCGTTCCTCGACGCCGAGAACAGACTGCTGCAGGGCGCGAGCAGACGACGATGCCTGAGCATACTCAAGACTCTGAGGGACAGGCACCTAGACTTGCCCGGCAACCCCGTGACCAGCTATCACATGAAGACGCTGCTGCTGTACGAGTGCGAGAAGCATCCCCACGAGGCCGAGTGGGACGACATTTGTTTGGCCGATCGTTTGAACGGCATATTTCTGCAGCTGATCTCGTGTTTGCAGTGCCGGCGATGTCCGCATTACTTCCTGCCGAATCTCGACTTGTTCAAGGGAAAATCGCCGAGTGCCCTCGAGAACGCGGCCAAGCAAGTCTGGCGATTGACGCGAGAACTGCTGACCAACAGTTCGGCCCTCGAGAAGCTCTAGTTTCCTAGTGTTTTGTTACATGCTCGTGTGCTTTTTTTAAGACTTTGATTCTGTGATCATATGTGTGCGCGACAAGCGGCGCGTCTCTCAGCGAGTGTCGCGCGCCAAAGTGCGATACATAATATTGCTATTACGCATAAAAATATAAATGAATTTATTTATTTATTATCTTGTACTACTTTTATTAGCGTTTTCGAATTTTAGTGCCATAAATACTGATTATTCGAGTGTGTTACGAGGTTCAGTGGAATTTCTGTTGTTGTGTTATGTTTAGTTTTCAATATGTAAAATATATCGTATTTAACACGCACGCCCGAAGAAAACACCCTCAAGTCAAAAGAATAAAGTGTGTTTTCGTTGTTATAGTGTAGTTACATTTTCGTGTCAAATATTTGAATGGTTTCGGACTCAAGTGTTGACTCGATAACAAACAATCTACGTCAAAGAATTGTAAAAAAATGCTTTACTATTTGTTTTAAATGTAAATTAAAGAAAAATACATGTTCGAATCTTCGTTTAAAACTTTATAAGCGACGGTGAAAAACATCTGACTGATTTATCAAAAAGAAAAAAACATTTCTAATTCACTTTCGATCTAGAATGTACGGACTTTAAATAACGAAAATTGAGAGCTTTTTTAAAAGGTTCTCAATAACTCATAGCAAACTCACGTATTTACTAAGAATAAAAATTTTGCTTTAAAATTCAGTCATTTTTATATACATGATATTTGTATAACTTTGTATATAAACATAGTATACAGATGTAATAAATTACATAAACTTGTAATTAATTTTAAAAATACACTAGAACTATACATTAAGCTTTTACTGTTATTATCCTAAATTTTCCTCTTTCATTGCAAAAAAACTAAATTTCATTAAAAAAAAAGGAAATTATATAGTTGTCTAATGATTTCAAACCTACACACGTATTCAATTCAATTGCTACTTATTTAAAAAGCAAACAACTTTGTAAAATGTGGTTAACACCTAAATTCAATAATGTTTCGTTCCGACGGATCAGTCATGATCCTTTAAAATAGTGCCGAATTATTTATCAATACTTATTTTTGGGAAACGATTTAAATTTTGAGTCAGTAAGTTCGTTTTATTCATAATACAGTTCATTTTTAATCTTCCGAATTCATCTTTTGGTTTATAAAAAATTCTACTAGAAGTCTATGAGAACCCGAATGAAAAGGAAGTTCAGTTAAGAAGTAAGAATTATTAATTCTTTGAATTTTTTATAAAAAATCTTTTAAATATCATTTTGTCAGTTTAAATATTTTATTAATAATTTGGAAAATTGTTTAAAAAAGTTAACTTTAATAAACATAAATTTTGTAGTATTTTTTAGAGTGCAGGTATAATTTTTTGCATAATGTTTAAAATTATTCCATACACTATTTAAAGAAAATATATTCAGACGTTTAAAAAAAGAAAAAGAAACGTTTATATTCAAAGTTCCAAAGTAGTCCATTTGAAAAAAAAATCGATCGAAATTTTCTCTCGAAATTTGATCCTCCACGTATCAACCACTAGTTTTAAAAATTTATATACACTAATATCAAAGAAAATGATTTTAATATCAAAAATCTGTTGGGTCTATGATTTAATGCCTGTGGAATAAAATTATTCAATTACAACCACGATCGGATTACCAAGAAGAATTTATTACGTATCATGGTTAAACTTATTAAATAAAACGCGTATGTTTGCGTGTTAAGTTTGTATTATTTTGATTCATATTACTTAAATTCTATTGTATAATAATGATAATTTCCAACAGCAACTAAAAAAATTACAAACTACTTTCAAGTTCACAGTAATTACATTAAAGTAGTGAATTAATAATAAAATAAGTATGAATGTTTGTGAATGAATATAGCAGAATTTGTTCGATATTCTTTGACACACAAGTCAAGTTGATTGAAGTGAATTAAAAACTTGTTGACGAATGAAAAAAAAAATTAAAACGCGATAAAGGAGATTTTACACCTAACGTTTATCAATTCCGAACTCGCGAGCTAGCAGTTTATATTGTATTCTCGACGACACAAAGAATGCAGTCCGCAGATGCATAAATAAAGCGCAAAAGAAAGATGCTAGCATTGGGCGAAAAAAAAGGAACGTTTTATAGCCGAAGACGATATTAAACAAACGACGTTCATTGTTTCTTGGGAAGATTAGCGAGCCGCGCACGGTCGTCGTCGTCGTCGGTCGCAGAGCCGCAGCGTGTGCTGTGCGTGTCTCCCGATTTTATTGGGACGTTTCGGGGAGTTTTATATGCGAAAATAAGCTTGAAAAGAAAGAGAGGAAGAGAGGAAGGTAGGTATAAAGAAAGTAAGAGAAAAAGAGACGGAGGACGCGCAGAGAAAAGAGAAAGAGAGAGAGAGAGAAAGAGAGGACTCGAGTAACGCGATACTCTGGCTCGCGCGCGATCGCAGCTCCGAGAGATCTTGTTTCTCCCTTTTTTTTGTTCGCTCACGTTTTTTTTTCTCTCGTTTCCCCGGCTTTTTCCCTTTGCTTCTTTGCGTCGCCATCATCATCGTCGTCGTCGTCCCTTATACACATATACACAGACGCGCGCACGAGCGAGCGAGCGCACGCAGCTGACACTATAACCGAGCGATGGTGCGCGCAGCGTAAACTACCTTTATTTTATATACATGACCAATGTGAACGAGCGTAGCGCAGGTACACACTTATATACTACTATACTCGTCCGAGCTCCGCGGAACGAGATCAGCGCCCGATAAGGCCCCCATGGGAGCGGCATGTTACGGTCCCGCTTTTACACGCGGCTTCATATATTTATATATGGTATAATATATATAGGATACATGTGCGATCGCGCGTCCGAGTTCGCTCGGCTAGCTATGCAAAGCCTGCGTATATATCTCATCTTGTCTTCGTTCCTCTGTGTCCAGGCTTTTAGCCTCGTATAATAATGGCAAATACTCCTATAGGTATAGTGCAGAATTTGATACGCGTCTAATGCTCGTGAGCGGAAAATACCGAATAGCTCTATTTCGCTTCAAGAGTGCCTCGCGATTCGTCGTATTCGTTTTTAGCATCCGTAACTGCGCGTCTACGCGACCCAGACGCGCGACTCGAATAGCGCTGCTAATATAATCATATCGCGGAGATGAGATAGGCCAATTTACTATGCACGGCGAGCCATTCAGCGAGAAATATCGCGGCTCGCCTCGTTATAATGCGATATTTCCGAGGGCATCGTGGATCGTCCCAGACGCAGCGTAAGTACACAAGTTGAGCTAGTATATTTTCTCGCGCATATACGCGCATAGAGGCGTGCGTGCTAACTGCTCGCGAGAGTCACGAGCTTTACGAGCGAAACCACTTAGAGTGTATCGCTTTCGACGGCGGCTGGAAGGGGCAAGGACGAAGAGGCGAGCGAGAGAGCAGAGGCGGCGGCGCATTAGTATGAAACATTGATGCGAAAACTCCTTTGCGCGTACATTATATAAGTAGGTATGTATAAGCTCCCACTAGGCGGACACGTGCCGCGCTCACAGGTAATTTTACCATATTTATATTTTCCTCAAAAGTAGCTTGAGCAGACCTGCGAGCCTGCCACACGCGCGTGCCTCCGAGCACATACTTAAGCGAGATAAGACGTACACGATATTATGGGCCCGTTAAATTATTATCGCGTATACGACGAGTTCGTTCGCCGTAAAATGAAGAAAGTAGCCACTCGGGCGCGATAAGCCAGCTGTTGCCACCGACGCAACCGCAGATTATCGTGGCTTCCGTTTTTCACGATCCACTCGAATATTCGTCGTGGTGTCGGTGATGCCCGAAAGCTCGAGTTTCTTTACACGAGAACTGTAAAAAGTTAATTTTTACCACCTTCGTTAACAAGGCGGCAGAATTCGTAACCCTGCCGAATGACTGCCAATCGCGGTTATCTAGTAAATTCATCTTTTGTTTCGTTATAAAACTTTTGTTGCTCCAATAAATAAATTTGCCAATTGGTTAGACGATTCCTCTTATAAATATAGTTACAAATATTTCCACGGTATAATAATAGCATCGAGAATATTTGATACTCTTTGGAGGAAAAAGAATTGCCGCGTCCTCAGCACGCAGTTTACTGTCAAGAGTCACGACAGCAAGTCCAGGCAGGCAGGCAGCAAAAGACAGGGAAAAGACTGCTACGTAGCCGCGCGTTATCCAGGCGCACAGCCTGTACAGCATTTGAAGTTTTAATTGGGCCCGTGCGAAAGCATATCTGACTTCGTTTATCTCGCTGCTGCAGCGGCGCGCAGCTTATACGACGCGCGCGCGTATAATTGGTTTGTGCGAGCGGTATATACAACGTCGCACAAAATTGTCGCGCGGCGGCAATCGTGCTGGCAGATGCTATATAAGAACATCGCATAGGTAAGACGTCAAATCGTACCGCCGCTGACAGGTGTTGAAGAATAGACTCTGTCGAGACTCGAGCAACGCGGCATATTTCAGTCTCGCAGACCGACTCAACACCTCGCTGGAGATCGTCGAGCCTCACGGCAGCTCGCGAGAGCGGCGACGATAATGCCGGTCGTTCGCCGCAGCTCCGAGTTCAGGGCATCGAACGACTTTTTGCCGAGCGTGCGCAATCCAGCGCGATACTTTTATTCGCTGCCGTGTGTGCGTGTATGTGTACGTGAAGCGGTGAGCTTTGTTCTTTCCCTTTGGCTTGATCGGTCGCTCTCGACACCCTGTCCGCGCGCGTTTCGGCAATATATATTACAATCGCATACGGCCTATGGTATAGATCGCACACAAGAGTCGACGACGAGTCGACGCGATCGCGATCCTTTTATTCCTCGACTGCACGAGACCCGCAAGCCAAGAAGGTATAAGGCAGGTATGCCAAGCGTTTATCGCACGCGCTCGGCATGTGCGCGAGTCCCGAGTCTTCGGATCTTTTCTTTTATCCGAGACCGCCGCGAGCCGTGCCAAGCGCGATCGCCTATAATATAGGCTATAGCGGCAAAAAAGCCGAGCTCGAGCTGAGCCGTAAAAGACGCGTCTCGAGTGCGACATCCGTTGTAGCGTGCGCGAATAACTCGAATCGTCGACTACGCGAGGACCGCGGTATTTATTCGCCCGTAGCCAAGCCCTATAAACTGCTCTAAAGTATGTTTATTAGGTGTCAGCTCATCTTCTTCTTCTATAGGGTGCTTTGTCAGATTTTCCCGTTCGCGACGCGTCGCATAGCGTTATAACTCGTTCTTCCCCCGGCCGACTCCAAACGTAATTATTGAGCTATCCGTCCGAATTTCGCTACACCTCGTTGTCCAATTATTTTCTATTTGGCAATTTCGCTTTTATACGAGATTCGATCCCTGAAGGACTTGGGATCTCGAGCTAAAGTTTCATCAACGCGCGAAGCTTGCACGATACATATTTTACGAGGCAGAGCGCGCACATGCCCAGGTCGAGTGAATCAAGATAAATGGTGCGAAGTTATAGCATGATGAGCAACGCAAAAATGAACCATCCTGTGTTATGCCACTATACGCGTTTCTCAAATAGATTGTGACTAGTGTTAGACTATTCAAACAAAAGCGAAACATAAATTTTCTTTAACAAGAAAAAAAGAAATAAAAAGGATTAAAAATTGTTTATTTTATACCGTTTGTGTTTTACATTAATAGATGGATTAATCAGAGCGCGGGAAAGTGTAATATTCTCATGAATACAAAGTGCCAACAACACTC